ATACATACCATTTCATTAGCAAATATACCAGTAAACAAAGCAACATAGATATTAAAGATAACTTAAAACCTGTTGTCATTTTGGAAGCACGGGTTTTGTTGGGTTTCTTTTGCTGGATTTTTGTAACCACTTCTCTTGCTTCCCAAAATTGTAAATGAGCATGTCATACAGTAGATACTTCAAATTATGAAGTCAGTTCTGCAAAGAATACTACGTCTACTAACCAGGGAGCTATTATATTTTATTGCTGTCTTATATATCCAGCAAGTTTTTTTTTAGAAAGAAAAGCACTAGGTATCCAGTATGCAGAACTACCTTACATGGAAACTTTATGGATAGAGAGAAAAACTTTTCATTTTTATGTTTTTGAGTTAATAGAAAACCTGTGCAGTTAATACAAAGTTGAAATTAATTCTTCCAAAGTTTTGGCATTTGTTAGGGGATTATGGTGCATCTGAATAAATAGAGATGCATTTTTCTTGTTTTACTGGGGGAGGGGAAATTTTTGGTCACATCCCTTAGGACAAAATACATCCTTAAGGTCTTAACATATCTGCAGTCTCTATTTCCTGCATGATTTCTAGTCTACATAACTTACCAGTCAGTATAGTCTACATACTTACAAGTCAGTATCATGTATCTTTGTTTACGTACAGCATTTGATACTATTTGTACACAGAGACAGAGGTAATGCTTGTTCCAGGGTTCTTGTATGGTTCATATTCTTTAAATAAGACTCTAAATACATTATCTGGAAAACATGCAAGTGGCACTGTCCTTCACCATGTCACTTTGTCACACAGTAAAATGTTACTTTTGACTGGGGTGTATTCTATATGTAGAAGAAGAAATTTTAGTACACTTTTTAATCTTTGAATCTCTTTAAGTATTACTTCCAGTTTAAAATGTTTTTGTGTCACGTACCGAGTGGTTTTTGACAAACTTGGTTCTCTTCTGTGAGAAAGGTAGAAGCAGACTTGTTCTCACTCTCTTTCTAAATGTCTCATCTGCCTTATATTTTCCTTTTTTCTCCTAGACGATATTTAAAGGAACAAAATCTTTTACCAAAAGAATCTGTTTATTTTTAGATCATTTTCCAGATATACACAGTGCTACAGATCAACTGCTGTTTATTGATTTGTTGTGTCAATAATTACATTAACTGTGCTTCATATCATTCCAAATATGCAGTATTGCTAAAACATATGGTGTGGCACCAAAAGCAGGGGACAAGAAGGAATGAGCATGAAGAAACTAAAGTTCAGGCAGTGCCTTACTCCTGTGATATTAAGTTACTTAGTTCCAGCACGTGGTGCTGAAGGAAACTACATAGTGTTTAAACCATTATGACAAGATTTAAGATTTACTCCTTTAAAGAAAAAATTAAAGGTAAGAAAACTATATGTAAATGGACTCCACCACAGGCTGCGTTCTGTCAGTTATAAAGTGTTTTTTGCTATGAGTAAGGTACTTTTTCCAGATTTAGTAGGAAAAACACTGTGTTTTCACATATGGGAAACTTCGATTTGTATTAGATCCATCATCATTTCTGATAGTTACTCCTTTCATGTGCTATCCAAGAGCCTGAGCTGCTTTAATGGAGGACTGGCTCTTCTGTTTTCCCTGTATCCTAGGTAAATATTCACTGCATTCATGTCCTCTTCTCAAGTTCAACCCTCTGCCTAAGCTGGCACCAAGTCACTGATAAATTGTTATGAAACCTTGACTGCATAATCATTTATCAAATTTTCACCAACAATAAAATTTACATATGTGATGGTCTCACAGCTTTCTGTTATGTAATTAAGCTTTAAATTACCTGCTAAATTCTTTCTCTCGGTGCTCAACACTGATTTTATTTATTATTATTTTTTCCAGTCATCAGTGGAACTTCTTAAAGTACATCTGATTCTTGGAATTTATTCCACTTGTCAACTAAAACCCAAATATTGTGACTTTCGTGGCTCAGTGTAAAACACTACATTGGGCAGTACACTTGTTTCTGTGAGTTTCCTCATTTAATAGAAACATTGTTAAAAAATACAACAACACTGCAAAATGATGCTTTCTTTAGTATATGAACTGGAAATACATGTGCAAGTCCTCAGGATGAAACTTGCAAATAGTCATGGATTATCTGTAAGGGAACAGTATGCATTTATATTAACTCACAGGCTGAATTTAACTATGTGAAATCAAATGGAAGAGATACATGGGCTTTCTTTTTTTGTTATACATCTGAAAAAGAAATGTGTTTAATGTATAAAAATGTATGTAGTATATATATTTCCTATTCACAATATTAAAATTATATACATAATACATATATTATATTTTTGCATATGGACATATACAAGTCTTTTCAGCAGGGAAAGATACAACTAGCCAGAAAAAAAGTAAATCTGACCCATCACAAACTGTTGTAAGTGATTCAGGCTAAGTAAAAGAAAAAAATATTACTTCATCAAATTTTGAGACCAATCTTTTAACTGATGTATATGCACTGTTTTCAAATCCTTTTGTTTCTGTCACTGGTTTAAATGTAACAGAATTGTAGCTGAAAACTGTGACAGAGTATGAGAAAGATAGATATGTTAAGAAAAGGAACCTTCTAAAAAGTGTCTCACAGATACTTGCATCATAAGGCCAATTGTATCCATCTAGGAAAATTCATTATATGCCCATGTCCTTTTCCCCAAGTGGAAGGGAGAGTTCTTCCCACTCACTTGGGTAACCCTGTCTGGATTCCTTCACAGTGTAGGGGAGCAGCAGATGTGGAACTGTAGTGCTGCTGCTCTTCATCCTGCACAAGCTGCTCTGTGGCATCCTTCTCTCATTAACTGTCCTTAGTATTTCCCAGATGCTTGCATGGTGGATTTTTATGTGCTCACTAATCATCATTTCTGCAAAATGCAGACTTACAGCACACACATCAACTGATGAGATTTTGCTTATTCTGTAGGTCTGGTCATGTGCTGTGCAAGGTGGGTAGAGGCTTTGTAATGGACAACTCTTGCAGCAGTAGAAGGTGGGGGGCCTGCCAACTCCAAGAAAATGGGTAATTTTATTCAAAACATGGTCTGAGAGAGAAGGGGAAATAACAAGGAAGGCTGTTTGGGACTTTCATGTCTTCCAGTGACTCATTGTTTCCAATTTGTTGATATGTACTATTTTTGTAGGCTGCTCATCTATCATTCATATGGCTTGGTGTTTCCAACCTCACTTGTGGAATGCAAGAAAATAGCGTGTGTTACGTCAGGACAAGAGTCAAGGCCCTGCACTTTGGCAGGGGGATGAGGTTACAATCAACAGGTCCTGTTCTTTAATGGAACAGAATGTAGCATGTTCTGTGCATTCCCTGTGAATATCTTATCGCAGACTCAGTCTGCAAACCACTGTTGTGGAAGGTAAAGGTGAGATGGCAGGAACTCCTGCAAGGCTTAAGTATATGCTGTAATGTAAAAGAGAAAAATATTTCTTACAGTAACAAGGAAGCCAGAAGAAGAAAGTTCCATTGATCACCTTGGCTGTCATGGGCAACTGTTTCTTATTTCCACATGAAACTTTTAAGAAGTATTAAGCATAATTTCCCTTTTTTGATCTTTCTTAATGCAAGATCTTAGAGGGTTTTTTTTAATTTATATTTTTCATCTCTTCAAACTGGGGCCTTGTTGCAGACTTTCTCATATCCATGAGAGTTTAGCAGGTCTTGAGTTGTGCACCTGCAGTCTTTTCCATCCCATTCCCAGAGGAAATCAGTTTCACTATTTATTTATTTGGGAAGCACATAGTAAAAACCTAATCCAGGAATGGATTACATAAATGGTAGTCAGCCCCTTGTTTCTCCTCCCCTCTCCTAATTCTCATCTTGCCTGCCTTGCATTTTTTGGAGTTCGAGGTGCTCCTTTTCCTTCTGTGCCTGTGTGTGCCTTAGGTTTCCTACTCCTCAACATTTTATTTTGAGCATATGAGTAATAATGCGCTTGTCTGTGGTTTCCTGTAGTGGCTGCCACTGTTTTGTAGTCACTGTTTTGGCAACACCTTCATTTCAATTTTACATCTCATGTGCATGTATTGTCGTTATTCCTGTAGGTTGCATTTTTTCCTCTGAGGAACAATTAAAATAAATGAATTTTCAATTAAACATCATGTGTAATTCACCAGTAACTGAAAGTGACCTTCTCTCTATGCTGCTTTAATTTATATGCTTGATTTCAAAGAGCTACTTTAAATAATGCTGGTGTGGTGGTGTTGAGCTTCTTCACAGCAAAGGTTAAAGATTGCTTGAACACTGTAGAATACAAAAGCTGCTACTACTGCTTTTACAAAGTTACACTGAAGAATTATGGGTCTTCTCAGGGGTTGGGTTTTTTTAATTGTTTTAGGCAGTGTTAATTCTAAATCAGATAGAAAGCAAACAGAAATAGGGAAAACTTATCTTATAGACACAGTGCTTTTTTGAAGGACTTGCAGGATAATTTACTGCTATCACACTCTTGAGTCATCTCTGAGAAAATGAACTGATAACTTTGAGCACACTGAGCATCTTGTCCCAGTTTCATCATGGTCCTGTGCAGTTGTGTATGCATTTAAATTTCAGAAGTCTTAATTCATGTTTTTAGCAAGAATAAACAAATACAGCAGATAAATGTAATTTCATGGGTGAAACCTAAAAAAAAAATTTGGTCTCATTCCTCTGATTTTCTTCTGAGCAAATCTTGTTCTAAATAATTGAGATCATAATTCTTTGAAATACTGTCTCTGCACATCAGTAGTAAAATGTTTTGTATGTGTGTTTTCCAGTTCTTCTGTAAATGCTCTCTTGAGCAAGCTTAGCTAAGCCCAGTTATGTTTTGATGGCACAATATTCAATTCCTACTGCAAACCTCAAGTCTGTGTATCTTCAGTTTTGTAAGTTAAAAAATTTCTGTCTGTGAAGTCCCGCACAACAAATGAAACAATTTCAAGTTTTAACTCTAGTGTTTTATATTGTGTTCTAGGTTGTTGGAAGAGGAGCCTTTGGTGTGGTCTGCAAGGCAAAATGGCGAGCTAAAGATGTAGCCATTAAACAGATAGAAAGTGAATCTGAAAGAAAAGCCTTCATTGTAGAGGTACAGTACATTTGATGGAAAATATGGAGTTTGGTAGAGCTTTTTTCCTGAAATTCATGGGTGCATTTAGTGTACTAAAAGCTATGTCTTTATCTTAAATTAAATGCTGCCTGTGGTACCCAGTTCAGGCCTGGACCCTTGTCTTGCAGAGCAGGAGACCTGTCAAAGCATATTGCCGCTCCTTTAGTTTGCTTCTCATAAAAACTGAAAAGCAAGAGTGTGGGAGAGACAGGGACACACAAGTAGTGACATAACACTTCTTAGATTCTGTCTCAGTCTGAATAGCCAAAGCCTTGGAGCTGGTTAACACTTCCAGGGGCCACAGCATAGGTTCTCAATCAGTACAATCAGGTTGATATTTGAAACTGTTCCTGAGTTTTTTCAGCAGTTTTAATAACTTGATTCTTTTCTTATATATAAATACATTGGTACCTTAAAGGCTTTTGTTCAATGTTTGCTTCTTTAAAAATGTATTGAGTAGTTCAGATATACTGATAGACTTCCCAAGATACATAATATTTTCTAAAATCAAAAGTTTAATTTAAATTAGATATATTGTGCCATACTACCGAGTATTTATTCAGTTATAATTTAGGATGTTCAGGATACACAAAATATGCTAAAAATAAAACTCTTAAATTTAGAACTAACTCTAGTAAAATGTGACACACTAAAGGGCTGGAAAAAGCATGTTTGTAATAGGCCTTTCTTTAAATATTTATATGTTGTTCATTACGATGAAAAGTTTTTAAGGTTATTAGTCTGAGTCTGCTGGAATGCTTAGTAGATCCAGTTGGTCCCTTGGGATTTTTGTGTTCAAAAGAAATCTGAGTAGATAATCCCAGAAAGGATTCAGTAATTACTGCTATTCAGAACACCCTGCACAGTGAAAGCATCAGGTGAAATATTTCATTCTGATTTTTTAGATCTTCTGAAGACATAGAAATAATAGCATTTGCTCCGTAGACAGCATAAACTACTTCAGCAGTCTGTGTAAAGGGGAAAAAATGCCTTTTTGCTTGCTTCTACTATGTACTGGTGAAAAAACCCAATGCAAAATACTGCAATTGTAGTACAAATAGTAATAAGTTCTTGGAACTATGTCATTTTAATATTAAATTATTTTCATTTGTAAATTCTTAATGATTTATAAGTTATTATTAATAATTATCAATAATTTAATAATTAAATTTATTGTTAATTTTTTTTAATGTTAAAATATTTAACTATAGGGTTGTGGGCTTGGGGATTTTAGAACTTTTGTCCTCTATATTGTCAAAACAAACAGTATGATTCTGGTTTTTTTATTTAATCAATTTTTATGTAGTCCCAAATTTGAAGGCTCTAGGAAGAGCACCAAATCTACAGATGTCATAGTTCCACAGTGCTTGTGACTTGAGTGATGTTATTATAGCCTGACAAAAATACTTTCTTTAAATGTAATTTCTTCAAACTTTCTTTAAAATCACAGTTCCAGTTTGACACAAACTGCATTACATAAATTAAAATGCAAAGAGTGACATAAATCTTTTAATTTGTAAAGTCACCATCTGCAGTTATGTAGACATAGAAAACTGTACTTGCTGTTGTGGTGTATTACTTAAGCTATGAAAATAAAGCATTATCCCTTTTTTTATCATGGTTTGAAACTGTGTGATTTGTATTGCAGCTTCGACAACTGTCACGAGTAAATCATCCCAATATTGTCAAGTTATATGGAGCCTGTCTAAACCCAGTAAGTTACAGCTTATGTCAGTATGACAAAAGGTGACTAGCTTAACATATGCAAGGATCAGTGCACATAACATGTATTTTATATTAAAAATGTATAATTTATATATTTTTCATGTTTTGGCCATAATAAGGAAATATACAGATGTGTAGGTTGGTTGATATTTTCAGGTATTTGTTTTTCCTTTCTACTACTATGAAAAACAAACTCTTTCAAGAACACACCAAATCTGTTTCTAAACACCAGTTTTACTTCAGTTTGTCAAAATGGCATCTAGTGTATTACAGATATAGTTACATTCATATCTACAGTCTTATTAATTGCTAATCAATACAGAAAGGAAATGCATTATCAACACATGATTGTGTCTTGTAAATCAGCTCCTATTTTCATACATTCAATTTTCAGGATTTGCTTGCTTTCTGCCACAGCTGCAAACAGTCACACAAATGCTCTAAGCAGAAAAGAGGGTGCTGTGACAGAACAGATGTATCCTTAGCTAATTCTGGTATGGGCTTTTTAACTGATTAAAATAATGCTGCATCCCTTTTCTTTCTTAGTACTAGTGAAATGATTTTGGCATGGTATTTAATTTTTTTTGTAAGCCACTAAAGGAATAAAGTAAAGGACAGTGAACTGCAGTTTGAAGACAGTATTTGCTTTTTAAGTCTGAAGAGGGAGAGAGGTCATTCCTTTTATTTTCTATCTTCCAATAAGAACTAAGTGTAAAACTGATTTTTCTTACATCTAAATACATACCTGTCAAACAGACTGATGTACTTCCCATTAGCTTAGATATGGGGTTTTTGCAGTTGCCCACAAAGAACTTCCCTTTCAGTTTATGAAAGCTGTCTTCTGCCTCTGCATTGAAAATATGCTAAGTTTTTGTCCCCTTCCTCCCAAAGGTGTGTCTTGTTATGGAGTATGCTGAAGGAGGTTCTCTGTACAATGGTGAGTATCATTTCAACTTCCTGGAGTTAAAGTGCTAATATTAGGGCAAACATCATCTAAACTACAAGTTGTTTCATAAATATGTCTCCGTTCTTGGAGCTGTTCATAAGCCACTGAACACAATCCAGCACAACCAGCTGGAGGTGGCCTGCTTGACCTACTTGGTAGACTTGCAGGGGTCTCTTTGAATTATTATGTGGTTCTTTGAAATACTTAAAATAAAGGAGAAGGGAGTGTGCCTTTTAAAACCTCTTTTCAGTTCACTGGTTTGTTCTTGATAGCAGTTTCTATATTTTATACAAGTAATTTAAAATTTTCCAGTGGAACAGCTGAAAACATCCTTCCTTAATTTGTGAATTTCCTGGGCTTTTGTTTAACAGACTTTACCAGGGATAATTGAGAAGAAGCAACACCTTTCATATTGAATTTTAACATAAATTATTATGGAAAGTGTACTAAAAAATGGGAAATATTTTGATATTTCTGTTATTTTAACAGTCTGCAGAAGGATATTTTTAGTTGAAGTAATGAGGTGTTAGTGATTACTTGGATTCTACAGAGCTTTCTGACTGGTATTTTGTTAACTCCATTGTATCTGTTGTAATATGCAATAAAGTTCTTTTTAGTTTGTGCCTTTGTTTTGCAGTGTTGCATGGTGCTGAACCTCTGCCTCATTATACTGCTGCACATGCCATGAGTTGGTGTTTACAGTGTTCCCAGGGTGTGGCATATCTCCACAGTATGAAACCAAAGGCTCTAATTCACAGAGATCTGAAACCACCAAAGTAGGTTTATAGTTCATTTTTCATATTTTCTTACAATTGGTGTTTAAGATCATTTATAATAATTGTATCGCATTTAAAAGAAATACCTAACTTTTGGATGTACTGTATTCCAAATGATGGTTTTGCATTTGAAACTTCAGTTACAGAATGACAGTATATGATACAGAAAATTAACTGTATTCAGTTACTTTCTGTTCAACTGGAAAAATACCCTGCTCCTGCACTGCATCATGGAAGAAGGTTTTATTAGGAATTTGGCTTGTGATCAGAGGCATTTAAAATCATCCAGTTTTGGAATGATTGTGGTGTTCAATAAGAGAACATTGTGGGGAGGTTAATTGGTTCTAATGTCATATTTAATCTGTTGCATTAGAGCTCTTTTGCCACATGGCCATCCTCCTTTATCCCCTCCTTCTGCCTGGTCCACTAGCCCTGCCAGAAGATCCCATCACTTTCCACTGAAACAAAATTTAATAGTTTTCCATCCAGTTTGTTACCCAGCTCATTTTACAGCTTTGGATCTGGCTCCACAGATTAGATAGAAACAGATATTTCTATCAACAGAATCATCCCTTTTTGGTTGTAATCTCAGTTATTACCAGGTAAAATTATACCATGAATCCACAATTTAAATCTTTAGTTCTTTCATGTACTCCCCAGTTTTGATTTAGAGTTATTCACTTGTAACTCCAAGTTCTTCCATTTAAATAAATAGCTACATTGACTGACATTAGTGGGAGTCTTGATTGTTCTTTTGATAAAATTTCTACAGCACTTGTTGGTTTTCAACCCCTGGCATCTGAAAGTCTACTCTTGTCAATATATGCTTAGTGATTTACTCTGGCTAAAGATATTTAGTTAAAATCTAGCATATAGAAATATTAATAAATTACAACATAGATTACTTTAAAATATGTAATATAGTCACAGTATACACAAATGACCTTCCATATTTCCCAGATTATAAAACAAAGCACTGAGATACAAAGCCTAAGATATTCATCTATATTAGAATGATAGTTGTTGGGATGAAAAAAAAAAATCAGTGTTTTGTTATCGAACTATTTTGTTTTACAATATTAATATCCTTTTTTTTTCTTTGACAGTTTGCTCTTGGTAGCTGGGGGGACAGTTCTAAAAATCTGTGACTTTGGTACAGCCTGTGATATTCAAACGCACATGACCAACAACAAAGGAAGTGCTGCTTGGATGGCACCTGAAGTTTTTGAAGGTAATAAAAATTCAGCATTAATATTACATTTTCTACGTAGGAATGCAACTGTGAATTAATGTGATGTAAGAATAAGAGCATCATGTAGTCTTTAAAGTTTACTAAAGTTTGATGTAACAACTGGAAGTTTTGGCAGAAGTCTAACATTTTTTTTAAAATCTTTTTAAATTGTCAAATAATTGTGCAGAGGTTTGAAGAGCAGCACTGAACCAATTCTCTCATGTTAATATTAGACATTTAATTACATGAAGATGTGGAATCTTTATTTGTCATTGCTGGGATTTACATAAGGAGTACCTTTAGACAGCTGCAGTTCCTTATTTTGTAAGTGAGTCAAATACAGCCAGAGGGCTCTTTCCCTGCAATTTTGCTGTTTCTAAGATTCTTAAATAATTTCAAACTCTTCTGTCATTTAAATACACTGTCATTACTTTCCCTCCCTACTCTGATCAGCTTTTAACTTTAGAATTTCCCTGTTAGAGTCTCTAAATTGAACATAATTGCCTTCCTTTTTGATCTCCCACTTTCTTGTAACTCCCATCTTCATCTGCTTTTTGTGTAATCTGGAGATTTGATGTACTTCCTCTTTCCTACATACTGAGGAACTTGTTAATACCAGTTAATTTGGTTAAGTAGGAAAACAAGCTATTTATTGGAGCATAATTGGGGAAGACTGATGATAATTAGGTACCTATAATTGCTGCATGATTAGCAAAGAAATAATCCCATAGATATTAAATTGGAGATTAAACACCTTTTAGCCTGTCTCTACCTTAATTATCAATGCAATTTAGCAGTGGTCTGGAAAAGTCATCTTCCTGCCTTAGGAAGCAGGTGTCCCTGATTTGATCTCTTTGGCTGAAATATTAAAATTTTTTCCCCTATTTTAAACATTAGGGCACCTAAAGCCTTGTACAGATCAAATAATCTAAATGAAAATAATATGATGTAGATCAGGATGAAGTAAAAGAGCAATTCCAACCAATATCAGAATTCCCATTAGAAGAAATAATTTTTTTTAAAAAAATAAAAATTGCTTTGGGTGAATTGGATAAATTGAGGAATTATTGTGTCTATCCAATCTTAGTCTCTCACATAAGGAAACAATACAGTATACTCTCTCACTTCTTTTGGACTCTTGCTTTTCAGAATTAGTCCAAGACTTGTCAGCCACAAAGAATTTCATTGTTCAAATAGGGAAATAGCGGTATTTCAGTTTAATAGGCTGTGTTACAGAAGTGCTGTGACTGCTTAGATGAGAGTGTTTCGCTTCCCTTATTGATCTGCCATTGCTTATATGACTTTTTTTCCCCAGCATCTTTGAAAATAAGCTGACTGATAAAGCTGACGTTGTTTTTCTTCTTCCTACTTTTTGAATTCATTAGCCACATTCAGCTACTTTGATACAGGTATAAAGAGTTTTTGACATCCGCTTTCTTAGAGAGTTTTGTAAAGTTCAGATTAGTGCCTTCACTTAAAGAGGGCTTGTGGTTCATGCTGCAGCCTGTTTCTTGTGTTTGTCTAGTGAACTGGCCAGAGAACAAGCTGTTTGCCTGGCACAGTTTATCAGAGGTATGGGGGCAGAGGAAGTTGGCTCACAGGTAGTGGATGGAGCCTGTTGGAACTGTTGCTATATGGTGGGTATTCACATGAAACTAGACTTCTTTGTTACTGAAATGATTTGTCTGAATGATGCTTCTTGATTACATATGAACAAAAAAATCTCTTAGCCACTATATGCCAATTTTATTCCTTGTTTGAAGATAGATGAGCAAATCTCCTATAATTTATATTCACACATTTATTCTCATGTCATTAGCTATTCACATTTCTTATTAGCACTTGCATGAGTTATGGTTACAAAGCATACATTCTTTCTCTGTAGCCTCTGAACATTTTTATTTATTATTCTATGTCACCTACCTGTCTTTGGCACTTTAGGAATCATTGAAATACTGAACTTATGGTCAAATTAATTAATTAAGTAATAACATTACAAAAGAATAAGAATAATAAACCAAGAGGAATTCAGATGGCGAGAAATTGACGATTCTCCTGAATTTATTCGTATGGTAACTTAGTAGCTCTTCTGAAGACCTGTAATTAATAAAAGAGTAATGGATACGACAGATGCTACTGACTGGCATATTGTCACTAAGATTGGAAGAAGTGAATTGAAGAATATTTGGAGGAAACAAAAATAATCAATTACAGGATGAATGCAACAGATTTTTTTAAACCTAATAAATTGTGGTTTATATTATATAAGGAAACTCATGCAGTTTTATTATTTCAAGATGACTCCGAGGATTGATTCCCAGAGAGGGGCATTCTGAGCAGTCAGACTGTCAAGTGATTTCTGACTTAAGTTAGCATGAATCAGCCAGCTTTAGAAAACTCGTTATTTTCCAGCATGATAAATGTGAAGTGAAAGTAAGTATGTAAAGCTATTTATTTATTGGAGCAAGCTGCCCAGGGGAGTGATGGAGTCACCATCCCTAGAAGCATTGAAGAAATGACTCAGCATGGCATTTAGGGCCATGGTTTAGTTGACATTGTGGTGTTTAGCAAAAGGTTGGATTCAATGATCTTGAAGCTCTTTTCCAACCTGATTCTATGATCTGCTCAAACTGTATTTCTTTTTAATGTGTTGCATATAAAAGAGTCAAATTATATTAATGGCTTTCTTCCAGGTAGCAATTACAGTGAAAAATGTGACGTTTTCAGTTGGGGTATTATTCTCTGGGAGGTAATCACTCGCAGGAAACCTTTTGATGAGATTGGTGGTCCAGCTTTCCGAATAATGTGGGCAGTTCACAATGGTGAGTTGAAAATACTTTTCAACTTTTACTTTATTGAAAAATAATGCATTTGAAATTGTGTATACAACCTATAAATTTGCTGAACCATCTTAGCTGTACAACTTTTAATTACTAATGTTTCTATTTTGTGCTTCTATTAAATATGCATTTCTGTCACAAAGACTAAGTAGTTAGACACTGCTACTTTTGTGTCAGTGTGGGTTTTCAGTTACTTGTCTGCTGCCATGCCTGCTACGTGTAACAGATGTATGAACAAAGAAGGATGAAGAGCAATGTCTTCATTATTATAACACTCCATTTTAAAAGTGATCTGAGAAAAACCTCTTACCTGTCCAAATGATGATTTTAATAGATACATTGTCTTTCTTTTTTCTTTTTTTTAATTGAACCATCTGCAGGAAATGTGTAATTTTAAGTAACTTAACCTGTGTTTAGAAATGTTATTAACTGAGACCTCCAGGGCCATTAGGCATTAAAAATGTTACTTTTATTTTTCATCTATGGTGTTTTGGGGTTTGTTGTTTTTTTTTTTTATCCTGCTCTTTGAATGGTTTTACCTTTATACCTAGGTACCTGCACTCATGGTGCAGCACTCTGCTGTGCTAGGTACTATACAGAACAGATTTTCAGGAGCTTAGACTATGAGCAGGACACAGTGGTGTGTTCAAATGAACTGCTTTCTTTAAAGCAGTGGTGAAACATTGGTCAGTGTAGTAGAGTAGACTGTAGTATTTTCATGCTAGAGGTGTAACTTTTTTACTGCTGTCTTTTTAGGTACCGTGGCAAAACTATTTTTTGAGTAATAAAATAATGATAGTGAAGTAGTTCAGTGGATGTCTGCAAAGACTTTCTGCCATTTGTGAGAGACAACATCAAAGCAAGTATAAACTTTCTGGAAGAAAAAATTAACAAACAATAAAGGCTGAGTGACCCTAAGCACTCTGCCTGAGTGTCAGTGCTTCAGTAGTAAATGATAGAAGCATAAGGTGAGCACAGGCATACCCTATTCAAAGAAGAGAATGAGGCTGTCAGTGATAGAATCAATTAATATTATAGCCTCAATAATGCACAAAGAGAGATGTTTGCAAATGTCATTTTTGAATGAAGTTCTCCAGTTTTTCAAGGACACTGGCCATTGAGATTAGGAGTGATAAGTGCCTTGCGTAAAAGCATTAACTGTAAAACTGAGTATAAATCTAGTAGTAAATCAGGAAGCCTCAGTAAGGTGTGGGAGTGTACTTTAAAATTCCCTATCTGTACCTACTTTTGCTTTAAAATTTTATCTTTTTTATCTTTTTCCATTTTCTTTTTCTTTCTTCTTAAGAAGGAAGTGTTAGTGCACTTTATCTCACCTAAAACTATTGTGGCATTCTTACTTGATGTATTACTCATTCTGTTTAATATATTCTTAAATACTTATTGCTTTCTTTGCAAACCATCACTGTGTCTCATATATCAAACACAACTGGTTTTCCATTAATTGTTCTCATTGAAATTGTAATAAGAGGAGGAACTTGAAGGAAAAACCAGCTGAATAGTTAGTTGAAGTAAAATGTTACTAAGAATTACTATAGGCAATGAAAAAAATCACACAAAATTGGTAGTTCCAGTGCCTAATAATTTTTAAGGATGTTCTCAAGAGTGAAATCAGCTTTCAAAAATACTTTGAGTCTTTTGGGGTTTTTTGTGGGGTATTTTTTTCTGGGCTTTTTTTTTTCCTGTTTTTTCTGTGAATACAGCATTAGGGAGCAAAGACTGTTATTAGTTGCTTCCTAGTTTGGCCTAGAACTTTATTATTCAGAAAGAAGTAACATTTCATTAGCCTTTGTAATATGTTGTACTTGGTTAGTCACGGAAAGTATTCAAACCTGTAATGAAGGAAAAGTTTAATTTTTTTTTTTTTCTACTGTATAGTGCAAAGGAACTTTTCTTGTCAGATTTTGTTTGTAAGAGAGAAAATTAAGTACAAGCCAGTTCATCCAGATTACAATTAACTCTGCATTTTCCTTTATTTATTTAGCAAAATACTGGAGAGAGATCAGATACTCATTTATTTTGGAGTCTGTTTAAAAAATTTAAGGGTGTTTTCTAATTTCAATTGCAGGTACTCGGCCACCACTGATCAAAAATTTGCCTAAACCAATTGAGAGTTTAATGACCCGTTGTTGGTCCAAGGATCCCTCACAACGGCCATCCATGGAGGAAATCGTTAAAATAATGACACACTTGATGCGGGTATAAAAATTTATTTAAGTAATTTAATCATTTCTTAAACTATTAAGCTGGGAAATTGATTTATAAAAAGTATGCCTTTCATCCCACTCTAAAGGTGGGCTTGCGTGTTCTCTTTTACTTCTCTCTTTTTGACAAAAAATATCAAATTATTGTAGTAGAGATGGGAAATAATTTGTCTTTTATATAAATTTTTATAGATATAGATATATACCCTCTTTGGAGGGGTACAATACATCATAATAAATTTGAGAAAATAAACAAAGTTGTAGGTATATGTAATGTATTAAATTTTTAAAATAATTACATTAATTTATATTCTAAATAAATTCTTATAAATGTAATATATAATTTACCCTTACAAATTATGAGGTACTGTTTAAATAATTTAAAAACAATTGTTAATTTCTTTTTCATCAAATAATTATTGCTTTTTCACAGTACTTTCCAGGAGCTGATGAACCTCTGCAGTATCCTTGCCAGTATTCAGATGAAGGCCAAAGCAACTCAGCCACTAGCACAGGTACATTTGTATAAGTTAGAGAAAAAGAACAGCAACATTAAATGATGCAGATAGATTATAAAGCACATTTGTACATTGATTTTGAACTCAAAATGGAGAAGATTTCCAAAATCTTAAGCATCAGCAGACCCTATTTATTTTATTAATATATCACATCATATTTAGTGTTATCAGTCAAATGGTTTTGCTGAAGTGAGCGTAATGAAGAAAAAGCTTATAATAAAAGCTGTCTTCAAATGCTCAGGTTTAATGTCTCAGTTTTTTCCTCATGAATGTTGCTAGCAATTGACACCCTTTTACTCATATGTAATGTTTAGGAGTTGTCAATTTAAAATTTTTCACTATTATTAAAAGCTGCACCTGCTTTAGTTGCAGTCTCCATAATTTAAACTTGCATTTGTTTTATGATAAGTTGCAGTAAATACAATTATTTAAAATAAATGCAAGAAAAATCATTAGAAAGGTGAATGGAATAAAATGTGGGCTAGACTTTCAGATAGCTTTGACCTTTAAAAAATCCTTTTAATAATAATGAAAAAAGATCATTTAGTTTTCTCATTGTTTAGAGTACTTTTTTTTCCACTTAAGTAGTTTTTAATCTTACATTTCTTCAGCTTCCTCTTCTTGGTTGGATTATTTTCTGTCTCCAAATAAATTGCTGCTATTTTGGATAAAGCTTCCCTGGCTACTTTGCAGCTTAGTGACCTTCATATTAACAAAATCTTTGCAGCTTTAGCATTTCACTGACTTTACTAGGTTTTTTCCACCTCTCAGCACATGATTTTAAGACATAATTTATCACTTCAAATTGTGAATATATATTGGCTGATATTTTTCAGGTATTTGTGCTCCTGTGTGGTCAGTGCTGGTCTTTGGCATTAATTGTGAATGAGGTTGCTGTTACGTTATTAATATAACAGCTACCCTAACAATTTCAAAGAGAGGTAAAGAAGTCAATGAAGATTGACTTCAGAATGTTGTCACAGTATTTAGTTACATGTTCTTTTTTCTCTCCTCTTGCTTCTTATACTAATTGATCTGTAGCAGTCTTGCAACTTGTCTTTCATTAAAAGTTTTCAAAAGTGTTGCTTTAAAGGCAAGTTAGGACTTCTGAGAGCTTTCCTGTGAAGAGATGTACTTCAGTATTTCTAGTGCACGTTCTCAAATGCTTTTGCTTGTTACTGGTTTCTAGGTTCATTCATGGACATCACTTCTACAAACACAAGTAACAAGAGTGATGCTAACATGGAACCAAGTGATTTCCAAGGAGCTTCTACCAATGACACTATTAAACGTTTAGAATCAAAATTGGCACAGCAAATCAAAAATACAGCCAAGCAGCCGGTAAGCCAACATGTGCAATTTTGAACCATGGTAGCAAAGTGGACATGGTTAGACATAAGTGTTGTATCTGCTCTGAAACATGTCATCATTCAAGATAGTGCAAAATTTGATCCAGTTAGTTATAGGAGAAGAATATGAAAAGGGACAGAAAAATGTTGTATGATTCCAAAAAGGTAAATTGGATGGCTCCAATGAGATCTCAAATGAAATGTAAAAAATAATTCATTGTATTTAAAGGGATTTATTAGATTAAAAAATATGTTTGAAAATTGCCACCTTAATTTATAATCAAAATATTACTATGATATGAAAGGATTAAACATTTAGGTGAATTTTGAAAATACCTTGGTTTATTTCAATTAGAATGCAAAAAAACAAAGATTCCCTTACGCCAATATTGGCCGAATCCTGCTGATTTTTTTTCATCTGTGTGAAGTTAGATTATTCTCAAAGCTGCAGGTACTTCATTTGTATATACCAATAATAGTTAAATTACTGCCATTTATTGTATTATAAATTTTAAGTCCTGTGACTTTGAAAATGCATATTGTGTAAACATACTGGTGTATATAATGGAGGGGCTTCTGCAGAACTTTCTTTTCTGTTAAACAGGGTGATCCTGGCCGTTTAAGTTTGCCCCCATCTCGCGGGAGCAGTGTTGAGAGCTTGTCAGATGTTCGCGCACGACCACCATCAGCCCTTGTTTCCGGAGAAGCCAAAAGGATGAGTGCTGATATGTCTGAAATAGAAGCAAGAATAGCTTCCATCACAGGTAAAATTTAATGATGTTTGGGGAGTGGACTAAGGAATTGGAAAGAAATAAAGGAAGAAGGAAAATGTAAAACATATATAGTCTTACAGAAAGTTAACAACAGTAGCCATATGAAAATTCTTAAGCTATTCCTGTAGTCTTGATTGTCCTTTATTAATTGGGGACAGAAATGCCTTTATTTATGGATATACACTCAGCAACACTGGGTATTTTAATTGGATATTTTAAAGGTTTTAGAGATTTTGTTGAATTAGATTTTTGCCTTTTTAAAAAATGTGTTATGAGACTTCTAAATATCAGTCCTATTCCAAATGCACAACTTTCTCCTTTTATCTGAAATAGTGTTACTACATCTCTGCTAGCTTAATGATTTATATGATAACATTTTCTTCAGGGTTGTCTCTATAATACTTTTGAAATTAAGAGGTAGGTTCAAAGTTCAGCATGTTCCCAAATAAGTTTAAAAATCCACTTTGACAGATTTCAGAATGAGAAACGTAATTAGATTTCATTCACCAGGTTAAGAAAGCATTGTCTTTTGTTTAAAAAAAAAGATACAGGTGTTTTGCCAGGTTTCCTTCAGATATAAACTGTCATTTCTAAACCTTAAATCTTTGAGAGCATTAGAATTTATCTGTAAGTATAAATACATAATTCTATGGCGAAAGCATTTTTGATTCATCCCAGAAGAGTGAATTAATAAAAATGTGTACACTTGGCAAACACTTTCTTGTCTCTTTTCTTCATCAAAGATATTGTTTGTTGATATATGTAAACTTCAGGTTTTAAGTTTCATATGTGAAAGTTTTTGTGTTATGGCATATGACCAGATTTAAATAATTAAACAAAATTACTTCTGTTAGTTCAAGGTTATTTAGTTGTTTGAGTATTTTTCTACCAATATGAAAATTAGGGTAACTGAGTAGCTGCAATTAATAAGGAATTACACATCAAAATTCTAGCTTTCTTGTGCACCATGGCTATTTTATTTTTGTTCTTCATTGTGTTATGATTACTCCAGGATCTTGTTTTACTAAATACTGAGGTACTGAAATAATATTTATCCTGCCCTAAATTCGTTTTACTTTCATGTTTTTATTTTAAAGCCTTATTCCAAGATCTGTCTTTCATACTGTCAGTCTTTGACTGGATGACTGTGTAGCACATCTCACCCCAATTATCTCTAAAGGTCTCTTAACATAGAAGGAAGCTGTGTGCTTACCTGGTAATAACACCATGCTGGTTTTATTTTAAAACATGTCAGGACTCACTTTGGTCACTGACATTCTTAATGTAACTTTTTGATATTAGCAGGGATAACCTGGCCCTCCTTTGTACGAGTTTTTAATTTTCCTAGTTTGTCTTCTTTAAGTGCATTGCTCTGAAATAATAATTATTATTCAGAATAATCTAAGGGCTTTTTTGGATTTTTTAATCATGACTGCAAGGTTTCTTTTCTTGAAATAAAGGTACATATTGAACATACTATTTTTGGTTTGGGGTTCTTTGGGTAGTTTTTTTGTAAAATCACTTCATGCAGTAGTGGACTATGAGAAATGAGGTCAAGCACATCTGACCGTAACTTTTTCAAAAAGAGGTGAAACAGCACTATATTGGTTTTGGTTTCTTTTTGAATCTTGTTAACTGTGTGACAGAAATAATATGCTATGAACCTGAAAAGAAATTGCATGGCTGGGTGAGGATTGGGCTGTTGTTAAATCAGGTTGAAAATGATTTAATCTTGTTCCATCATCCTCTAGATTAAATGTAAGAGTAAATCATGTAATGCATATCACCATTACTTAGTGAGATGAGTATTTTTGGTAGATATACTTTAGTAGATATATTCAGATTTTTCTCTAAATAGGAACAATTTATCTTAAACTACAGAAGTGGTAAAAATTAAAAAAAGTATGATAAGATTTTGTTTCAAAGTGTATAATGTCTCTTGAACATTATTCAAAACTTAAAAAGCTGGTTGTTATATCCAGCTTTCTAAACAAAAAATCTTCATTAGTAGGACAAAAGAGTAACTGGAAGGAGTGATTGTCAAATGTAATAAAAGTAAGCATTTTTTCAGAGATACGTGAGATTTGCTTTGAAAGGAGATGAGTTGAGGAAACAGAAGTACCTAGCTATTAGACTTTTTATTAAAGTAGTTTATATCCAACACCAAAGAGAAAATGTTAGTTATGTTCAGGCAATCAAGATTTTTTTCTGAATGTACAGGTGAACTGGAATAATTTAATTTGTTCTCTATTTGGATAATTACATTTGGTTTTCCCTTCTGTGTTGCCATGCTGCTTTCTGTGTTTGACTTTTGTGTTGCTAACTATAACTAATTACACTGTGTTGTAATGATGGCTAGTTCTGCATTTTTTGCTTTTTAACAGTTGCTTTACTATGTGTAAGCATGAGTGGAAGGCAATGCAGTTTATTCTGCATGACACATTTTTGCATGAACTCTAGTTTAACCAAGTATATGAACAATGCAGTATTAGGAATTTAATAATTTTGCTCTTGCCATTTTAGTGTTTTGCATGTGTATTGTATATGTGTATTTTTTCAGCCTATTCCAAGCCTAAACGAGGCCATCGTAAAACTGCTTCATTTGGCAACATTCTGGATGTCCCTGAGATCATCATACCAGGTATCGCAGACCAGGTGAACGGGTCAGTTGGTTAAGATGCCGGAATAATGATCAGACTGCTAAAATACTTCTTGCTCCAGTTGCTTTAGGATAGGCCCAGAAATTATCCCACTAAATTTTTCATAATGCTCCAGTAAAGAGGAGCATGATATTTTATTACAAACTTACTTTTATCAGTTAATTATTCAATCTTCTAATTCAAATTTACTTCTACTGATAAAGGACTTTTTCCCTTAACAATCTTGATGTTCAGAGTCTTCTTATTGAGGAAAAATATACATGCAGTCTTGTATTACAGTACCTCATTTGGTGAAAATGGGCCTAAGTTGAAAAATTCATAGTCTAGGTAATTCTTTTGCCACAATCTTTATTGTGTTTAGGTTCCCATTTTTAATCAGATAACAGTAGAACAGAAATCTAAGATAAGATAAAGATTTATGTAAGATAAATTATGTACAGAACTTTAAATCCATGTGATATTTGTGATTAAAACATTAACACTTATGCTGTGTAATTGTTATTTTTGACTACACTTTTCTAGGGCTGAAATGTGTGTGCATGAGGTACTGCTGGTGTGTTTAAATAAATGCAAACTAAAATTACTAGGAGAGGCTTCTGGTAGGAAAAAAATTAATCAGGCACCATGATGGGAATATCATTTGGGACTTTAATGAATAATTCTCATGTATCCCAAATATTTTTTTAGTTAGTAGCATGATGTTTTTCTTTCTTTTATTTCATACTTTTCAAAGCCTAAAAACAAGTATAATCAATCCCAAACTGTGATAGGCATACCATTAACAGTATGCAAGTCACTTCAAAATGGTATGTCGGGGCAGGAAATGCAAGTGATAGTATCTAAAAATCCATTAAAAACTGTGGCACTCCTATTCTAAATTTCTGAGGAGGTTTCCTTGTAAATCTTGATATTGGTAGGTATGATAAAGCCGAATGCAAAAGGTAATTTTGTACAAAAGTTTCTTTCAAATCACTTTATTGAAGGTTACAGTAAAAATAGAGAATATGGTATAAGTAGATTCCAAAGAGCAATAGCACCCATAAAAAGAAAACCTCTTTGGCACTGAGGCTAACAAATTAGCAAAAAAGTTTACTAAAGTAGCTTTCCATTGTGACTTTCAAGTAGTCCTGTCGTGCACTAACATAAATGAAATACTGAAAAAGCACAGAAAGCAAAAGTGAAGACATCTGTCCAGTTTCAGTGTTAACTCACAGTGAGAGCCTGGTAAATAAGCTCTAGAAGCTAATGAGTGCATCTTGTCTCTGTACACTGTCTGCCCATAACCATATTGAGGTTTCCAAGAAATGTTGAAACTTTCAGGTAATAGTGAAGAAGTCAGTGAAATAAAATACCATGTTGTTTTCACAAAATAGATTGTACCAGTCTATTGGTTTCCTAGTTAGGCAGAGGGAGTCATTAAAAATTCTTCAGCTGGTCTGTTTTAATTGAACTTGACAGGATGGAAATTTCAAAATAATATGGAATACATATTAAAAAAATAGAAACCTGTAGAAATAAAAAAAGGGTTGGAGCAAGCATATTAATGAGTTTTCTCAAAATCTACTCCTAAGGTATTTAAGTCAAATAAGTGATAATAAAATTCCCTGTTAATGCTTTATTGGAAGCAACTATTCATCAAGAGGAGGATTAGAATATCACATAGGGAGAATTTTGCTGTGACTGAATAGAAGTAGGGTAAAATCCATGGTCATGCATCCTGAATCATCAATTTTTGTCAACAATTTTTAATAAAATGACATAGCACATAGCACATGCATAGAGATAATCCCAGGTAGTGTGAGACATTAATCTTCTGTAGTTGTGAAAAACATCTTAAGGTTCATTTCCAGGAAAGATAAAGAAGCACTGACACTATTACTGTCCCTCGCTGAGTTTGAATTAGGAATGAAACTTACTGTTCTGGTCAGCCATATAGAAGAAACATACATGCACTCAAATAATATGAAGAAGAGTTACTAGGATAAGTGGAGTTTAGAGAGTATAAGAACAAATCTGAAAGCATGTCTTTTTTTAGCCCACAAAAGCTGAGAATAAATAATTATTTTCTATAGATGAATCTGCAGCTAAAAAGTAGAAAGAGAGCTACTTAAGTGAAAAGACAGTATTGGCACTACAGAAAAAATATGTAAATTTTCTGCAAATAAATCTTGACTTTAAATATAAAGTTTTCTGGTTGTCAGAGCGGCTTTCCAGTAATAATCCCAAAGCCAGAAAAAAATGAGATTAATAATAATTACATGACAGAATGTGATCATCTGCCCAGTAAACTAATTATATTCATCTGTATATTTGTCACTTCTTTCCTTTCTTTACTCACTCAGCACAAGGCTCTCAGTTCTGGCCTGTGAACACACTTTTCACTTTCTAGAACTCTAAGCTTCCCAGACCCCCAAACTGCTACCACCATCTCAGTCCCACCCAGTTACATTCCATGCTACTTCTGCCACAGACCCAGCTCCTCTGGACTTCCCTGGGCACGTCCCTCGGTGGGGCGAGCAGCTCATCCCTGTCCTTGGAGCCGCACAAGTGTCGGTCTGTGCTGCTGCCTGGAGTTGTGCTGAGCACATGGTAGAGCAGCTGCTGCCCAGAGAGGGGAAGCACCAGGCAGGCATGTTACCGTGAGTCAGCTGCTTTGGGCAGAGCTATTTTGGAAGTATGAGTACTACATCTGCTATCATTGGGGGTTTTCGTAATCTGTTGCCTCAACTGCATTTCGTCCATGAACTGATTATGCTTCCAAGGTCGTAAAATGCATACTTTATCAATTAAAGGTAAAATGTTGACAGAAGGGGAAGTTTTTAGAATATATTTGCTCTTTCTAAATAAGTACAATAAGGGTGAATAGAACTATTTGTTTATTTAAGATTCTGTTTTGTGTTGTTACTTTACAAAACTGAAAAACGGGTCAAATACACAAATCCTTTGTGTAACAACTTAGCAAATGAGTTTGCAGTGGTGATATCCTGCAACCAGATGGCCTAGTGACATATGAATACTTTTTCTTCATTTACAGTATCTCTAGTACAGGTTATAAGCACCAACTTTATTATTATACACATATTTATATATGAAAAGTAAAAACCCTAGTAAGAACAAAATATTTAAGTATCTTTATATTTAAGGAAAAAAAAAAAATCTGAATTCTAGTTTGTATACTTTTTGGATAGAAACCATTCAAGCAGCATCTAGCAAATATACCTACAAGTACAGCCTTCTCTTCAGTGGCAATGTTAGACATCTCGTGCATTTAGCATGTGTGCATTTGGCTTTGTAATTTTGTCATCTGAAACTGTGCCACAGTGCTATGATTTTTATAGCATTGACACTGCATAAATGATTACTCAAGATAGATGCATTTTGTGGAGGGTCTTTAGAAGGTGCATAGGAATTATGGATGCTGTAGGTCTGTAGTTTTTCTATCTACTTTTAAAATCAATGTATGCTGGAAACCCCATCCTTGTCTTCCCAGATCACTTCATTCTTCTGGAATTCAGATCAATGCTTTAACTTCTTCAAAATGTCTTGCAGCACTGTTGTAGTCACTGATCATCCTTCACTGTGAGAGAGGCTTGAGCGCTGTAGATGTGTAAGAAAGAGAGAGAGGACTGTGAGTAAATAAGAAAGTGTAAAAGGAGATGCAAGTGTCTGCTAAAGGGCAGGGAGAAGAGGTCATAGCTGGTCTGGATGTTTGGCGGCTGGGTGGGGGTGGTGATCAAAAGCTTAATAAGCTGTACAATTTATTTTTGCCTAGAGTATGTGGGGCAGGACATGATGGAAGTTTCCTCTTCCTTTAGAATTTAATTTTAGAAAATAAACAACACGATGTGAAATGGGTTTTTCTGAGGCCATGAAGTATGTTCGTGACATTTGCTTTTTAATCTTAAAATCCTGTAAACCACCAAAAGCCTGACACTGTGCATCAAGTTACTGTGGATTAACTTCTGTCCATGTACAAATCTCTTAGCTTTTATAATGAGGAAAAATTACTATTAAATGGACATAGAGGTAAGAACAAGATCAAAACTGGGAGAGGAAAGCATAAAGAAGTACCCATGATCTTTTCAAATAAATATTTTTTGTTGTGTTGTATAGTGTATTTTTCAATTGAAATTTGTCTTGAATCTGGAGCAATAAGTATTTGTTGATTTGTAGTCTGTTCCTGCCTTGTTGAAGCTATTTGCCAGATGTCTGCAGTATTATACTAATTAAAATGGCATTGCCTAGTAGAGCTTGCTCTTCCCTCATGCTACTAACTTGAAGATATTTCATTTAAAGGTGTTCATTTTTTACAAAAGTAGTTTTGGCCCCTCTTTCCCCACCCCCCCCCACCCCTTCACTTCCAGCAAGGCATTTTCTTTTCTTTCTTGCACCCCGCCCTGATTATTTTAACATTTTGTCAGCCATGTTCTAATATTTCAGCAACACATGTGCTGGGTTCTTTAAATTCACAAATGTTGCTAATCTGAAATGAGAATTTCAGATATTTTTGCAAGCCTATTTAAGCTGAGCTAATTTTATAACAACGTTGTTGAATGAAATGTGCACATAATTTTGTATCGGTCGTGGGTGGATTGCACATATGTTGAATATTGAGATGAGCTGTGTCAGCCAGATGAAGTATCCACAGCACAGAATTCGATTAAATGTATAATCTTGTTTGTTAAATGATTACATAGTGAAAAAGTTCACTGCAAATGAACAAGTTCAGACATTTTGACATAGATTTGTCATTCACAAGATCCCTAGTATCAAACTATGCAACAGACTTAGCTGTTGCTGCTTAGGTAAGTATACACTTTCCCTGAATTTCAGAAGCAAAATATCAAGACCACAGAACAGTTGCAATTTCAATCCATTTGTAGTCAGAGCAAAAAGTATATTCCTGTTTTAGAATCCTGCTTGATTTTCTTATATGCTTGTTTCTTATAGTACCTTCTATAAATTTTAAAAAGTCGTGACAAATCCATAAAATTACACTAAACATTTTGTATTGCTGTTTTGTGGTAGTGTGTTGCTACATGTAATAGTATATATATTAAAAAACTCAAAGGCTTAATAAATAATTATTAAATTCTTATATGTTAATATTAAAGTCTTCTATTTTTGTAGTAACTGTTGCAATTCAAAATGCCTGTTAGGATAGGCTTGGATTCGTGGGAATGATGCTGAATGAGAAGTATCTGAAAGGTCAGCAATGTGATGCCTTTTGCAGGGCTTTGAGTGAGCTGAGTTGGTGGCTGAGTGCGGGGCCGCTGGGCAAGGGGCTGCCACGGCTGCAGTACATGTTTCAGATGCTCCCCTCCAGTAGCAGAGTTACGTAATGCAGAGCTAAGAACAAGAATTTTGAGCATTGTCAGCTGTTACTCAGGACGTTTTGGTGTTTCCTTTTGGACAGCTGACCTGCTCTCAAGAGATAATATAAACAATCACTGTAATAAAAATCAAAGTAGTCAGGGAGATTCTGTTGCATAATCTCCTTTTATTTTTAAGGAGATTTTGTTTCCTGAAGATGCCTTTGATTGCTTGTCAGTGCTAAAATTTAAACTGTTTTATATAGCTGTCACTGGTGGATAATTGCGAACAGGTGGAAGGAGAAGAGGAAAAGATTACAGCATTGTGCTTCGTAGGTTGATGGTGAGATGTGATTTAGCTGAACGGTCCCCTTTTTCACACTTCTCAGAGCATGAGAACAGGACATAGTTTCGTTCCTCTGAAGGAGGCAGGAGACCAGAAGGAAGCGCTTTCCCTTCTGAGTTTTCTTGCAGGGAGTGGCACACAAGCAGAAGTCCTTGCTGTGTTCCTTGAGCAAGCCAAAGAGCAACAGGTTAAAGCTGGCAGCCTGTTATCTTCGCAGTTTAGCTTTTAGAAATCCCCATAACGTAACGCACTTGAAATAGATGTCGTCATCAGCTCCTGCCCCAAGTACTAAGCCTGACCAAATACATGTGACAGAAGATGGTGGAGTAGAGTGCAGCAGCTATTCATGTGGTAGGAGTGGTTATTGTATTAGGGTATACTTTTTGTGGACAGGCCAGCATGTTTTGAGTTAAAATTCTGCAGCTGTCTCTCTCTCCCCCTCTCTCACTTTGTCTCTGTGGATTTGTACAAATTCCAAGCTCCTCTGCAACAGTCGCACCCTTCTTATTTTGTTCTGAATATATTTCACTGGTTTGTTTTTGTTTTGTTTTTTTCCCAGCAGGAAACGGACAGCAGAGGCGCAGATCCATTCAAGATCTTAGTGTTGCTGGAACAGAGTCCAGTCAGGTAATGTCCTTCTCATCTCTTCTTTGCCTTTCAGTAAAGTCAGCACCAAATCTGGACTGGGGAACCAATCTGGAAATCTTCACCTTTGATGCTTTCATAGAAATGATGTGAAAGCTTGGCAGACTGTAGTGTTGTTAGTATTGCATTGAAATGAGATTCCATGAGGGTAACTATGAATGAGCTCTAGATGAGAAGCGTTTTCTGTATAGCTTATGCAGTGTCTATCACTTTTATGTACACACGTTTTTTTGTGTACCGCTTAATTTGGCTGAGGGCACATGTTGCACAGGAAAGCCTTTTCATCTCTCTATGTGTCGAAAACAATTGTAATTACTACTTGTTGTGTAAAACTTATATATAGACTCACTTTCTGCATGAAAATAAAAAGCATATGCATCAGTATAATAAATGCTATTTATTATCAGTCTGAATCCTGAATAGTAAATTACAGAGATATCTCTCTGTTTCTTGTGAAAGGTTTACAGCAGGGTGTTGTCACAAAGTTTTGTTTAAAAAAATACTTTTTATAAAAGATATTTTATAATAAGATAGCTATATGTCTATTACATGGTATTGTAAATGCCATGGTAACAGAAACAGTGGTATGCTACATAACATGCTCCTAGTTTCATTTCAGTTTTAAATGAGAAAAGTATAGCTAATGCTTCACTCAAATGTGTTTATTTTGTGTTTTTAATTGTTTCAATAATTCAGAGACTATTTGGCCCTTAGTGTGAATTGGCAATTTTGAAATCCTTACTATTATTTGTGTGTGGGATACTTGTGCTTAGCATATTCATCGGGTTAATCAGGTTTCCTTAATAAACAACCTACTCCAATAATCTAAAATAGGTGGTAATTCTTAGAGGTATAATTATTAGGGAGATAACCTTTGATTTTTCTTTAATTACATGGAGTATGATAGCCACAGAAACCTCATCAATCCTGTAGATATTAGTAAATTTACTGTGTACATCTACTAGAAAATAACAAGTCTACATAAAACATTTTAATATCTTCAGAGAAGACAGGTGTGTTAGTAATCTGCAAATTTTAGGAACTAATTTAGCCAATTCATTTAATTGTAGAATTAAAATTATGCAAGACTTGGGAGAAAATTTAAGTGACAATACATCAATTACACCAAATTGTGCTGATTGATGTATGAATATACTTAATTATAGCTTTGTTATTTAAAAGTTTTCATTCTGTTCATTTTAATGAATGGTTGATATTTCAGATTTTCATAATTTGCTTCATATCTTAATAGGTATTGTAATAATCCTTTGAAAGCTATTCTATTGCTTGTATGGGTGTTCTAGCTAAATTGTCCTTATGAACAGAAGGATACAGAAATTTTGTTGTATGTTTACCTCACCAATTACTCCTTTGGCTCTACAGAAGTAACAGTCACATTTTTCTTTCTTGCTTCTGAAAAGTGTACGTATTGGAAATATAAGTGGAAGAATCACAATTATCTGTTGCTATCCTGCAGTTTCTTTGGAAACATTATGGTAAAATCTGAAAAATGTAACATTTTAACATGCATGAAAAATGCAGTTTGAAAGACATTTTTGACTGTCCATATAAACAAATAAGAAATTTTTATCCCTTTTTAGATGTGAGGAGAGACAGGAAAATCTGCTGAAACTAATGCTAACTTTTGATGTACACATGCGTGCATAGTAAAAAAAATGGAAAACAGTGAACAAACAGAGCACAATGTAATTATGGCTAAAGACTTCAGACTAATAATTGTGGGTTTCTCTAGGTCTGGATCTGAATGCCTTGACTTTTTAGTGAAAATTTTGAACTGTTATCCATATAAGCATTCTACAAGCCAAAGCAGAAAAAATCGTCTGAGTGGCATAGCTGTGGTCAGTTTATCCAATCTCCCCATATGCACCATACCATATATAGGGTATCCTTGGTAATGTGAAAATCCCCTTCCCCCCTCCCTCCCTTCATTGCAAACATCCTTCTTCCCTGCATTCCATTCTCCCTTACACCCACTCTGCAGCACAGCCTTCTTCACCAGGCAGCCATGGCCCCGCGTGCCTCTGCTCCCTCACCCACGCTGTGAAAGGCCCTATCCCACTCAAAATTGAAGGATTGTGCCTCTTTTCTGGCTTTTTATTATTTGACACAGTAAAGCTGATCAGAAATATTTTTATTTAATGTATTTTTCCTGAAAATTGCTGCTGTGGTTCTGTTACAACTACTGTTTTTTAATTAGAAAGGTTTTTCCAATTCAGAATGGAATTTTTCTTAAGGTGAAGGAAAACACCAGGCTTGTATATAAATATTCAAATATATGGATATATTATATTAATTAATATGCAAATATATATATATATATATACAATAAATATTTAATAATGCATATACCAAAGTTTGGGTGCTTACCTAAAAGGGGTAGACCAAGACTCTTGGTCCTGTTCACCTGTTTGTTTTCATTTGACCACCTTGTATGTTTTATGATTGTGTGTCTATTTCATGTCTGTGTGCTCTTACAAGAATTTTTTGTGTAGTTTGTATGGCTGACCATTACTATGTTTATGTTGTTGATACTCTTAAGGCACTTTACAGTGTTGCTCTTACTGGTTTTCTCAATAACAGTCACTAATAGTGCTTCGCAGAGGGTTTACTACTCAGCATCAACAGTTTAGATAGGAAAATTTGCTAGGTCAAAGATTTTCCATCTTTGGATCAGCTGTTAGAGTGATTAGGTATTGAGAACACATGTTTAGGTCTGAATTTTCACAGATTTTTCACTTGGTGACCTTAGATTGCTTCTTACTCAAAGTGACTTGAGCAGCACTGATGTAGCTGTCCCTTCTAAAGTCAAATGCTACATTTTCATTTGTTTCTGTCCATATAATGTGATGATGCTCTGCTAATTACTCTTTTTTTTTTTTTCTTTTTTGGAACTGAATTGTTTCTTCTGCCTATGTCCCTGTACTTGCACTTTAAAACATTTTAGTGTGTCATCTGTCTAGTGCTATTGCTCTTGGCTAAACACCTTTGTAACGGAAACAGATGTGCAGTCTCTTAACTGCAATTACTAATATTTTTGGGGATTTGAAGGAACACAGCAAATTGCTATTTATGCTGCAAGCAGTCTTTACAAAATTTAATATTTTACACGGATACTGAGAAACACATCTAGCATAATGACTCAAGATCTACAGGTCATAACCTGATCTGATGCCCAGTGTGGTATCTGTCTCCTTGCCTGTGTATCTTTTATTGGTTTGGTTGTTTTGTATTCATCTTTCACAGTACTGTCATAAATACCGAAACCACCTACTTCCTCTTTTAAACACTTCTTTGTTTGTTTTGGGGTTGTTGGTTTTTGGGGCAGAGGAGGTGTTGTAACTGTTGCTGGGCTTTCAAAACTCTTATAGTTCACTTTGAAGTGAAAAAAATCACTATATTAAAGAAAACCATGTACTGACATGGCCAGTTGAGAAGCAAGGTCAGAATGTACATGCCCACATGCATGCAATCTAACTGGGATAATTTTGGGATCTGATATTACAAAGATGAATCACTCTGTCCATGAGATTGTGAAGTTTGTCACAGATGTACATTTGGGTTTTTTTCTCCCCTTTCACAGCAAGATAAATTTCACAGATAAGACGAGGAAACAGGACTAGTAATGATGATTTCTTTAAATTCTGTTGCCTATTTAAATTAGACTTCAGAGAGGATTATTCCTCAGAGCATGTCAGCTCTTCCAGACTGTAAGTCTTTGAGAAATGGAAGCTAAGAATGCCATGTGGGTTTCATCACCTGGCAAAGATGATTTGAGAGTAAACTGCTAGCAAGTCCAGAGGAAGCAAGGATGAAGGGGTAGCAGAAACTGATGGCTAAAGTCCAGACATTGTCTGGACTGTCAGAGGGGCTGCCATCCAGATGGCCTAAAACATCTCACTCAACAGACACTCAAACATAGTAATCTAACCAGTGTTCAGTTTGGGAAACTTCCCTTCAACTTTGTAGTGCTTTTTAGATATGCTTCAGATGTGATTCCTGAATTTCTGTATCTATTGAATTTCATGTAAATAATATCAAGGAAATGTTTTTTTGGTTGGTGAACCAAAACAATCTGGTAAAGCACTGGGAACTTACTGTAATTAGAGTATTTCTCAGGTGCCCCTCACTATCTACCATAGATACTCAACAAATCCCTTTTTGGATAAAGGACTTTTCTGCTGTTACAAGTGCTTTCTCTATCTTCTGATCTTTTACATCAGCAGGGTGTGTTTATCATTCGTATCTGAGGACACTAACAGTAAGCTCAACAACATAAACCTTTCTTAATGTCAACAAAAACTCCAACACAAAAGATTTTTCAAAATGTCTGCTGCCATCATCTTGAACATGCCCATCAGATTATTTCTACAATTTATTGTCCTTGTTTCTAGATATTGACATAAAACATGAAATGTTAATAAACGTCACAGAAGAAAGACTATGCATTTGAGATAATGGGTGTTTCAGTGTGTAGAATCTTGTTATTCTTTGGATTGTTACTTTGCTTGAATCCTGAATTTTGAAATTTAAAGTAGGATATTTGGAAATAAAGTCATAAAGAAATGTAGTTCCTAGGTAATGTATATTTGAGTGCTCCTTTTGAAAAATTGAATAATGAATCATTTCAGGATAATACACCATCCTGAAAATAGTTGTATTTTAATAGCATCTTTTCTTTTTATTTCAGTTTTTTTCTGAAAGACTTGCTGGGGTTTATAGTCTTAAATCCTTTACTGTGTTAATTTAATGTCACCGAAGGGGTATGTGAAATAGAAACATATATATTGTAAATAACATTTCTGAAAAAGCAGCTTAGTAGAACAGTGAAGTCTGTATTATGTTTTTGTGCATTGGTAAACAAAAGGATTATTGGAGGAGTCAAACATGTAAAAATACATGAAAAAACATCCTCAGAATTTTGGTTTAGTTCTTAATTTGCTTCATGGGGGAGAACGTACTCATTTTCAGATTGAGGTGTTTCAATTGACTGATCCTTTTTGAATAAGCTCTTTTTTCATGTTTTCTGAAGATTAATCACATAACCTCTGAGTTAACAAAAGAACCAGAAGAAAACTGTAGATTAACACACACTAGTGCAGCTACTAAGCTGTATTCCTTTAATTGAATATAGTTCCATTCATTGATTAAACGTTGGAAATAAACTTTATTTTCCTCTTTATGTTAGGAAGCTGCTAGATTTCACTGAATGATGGTGTCAAAATCACTAGACATACTGTAATGCTTTTCAAAAAGATCTTGCACAAATTGTTCAGCACTGCTTTTTGTTATGCCGAATAGCAAAATTATATCAATTTCTTTTACACAGTAAAGAAGAAATGGAGATGAAATTATCTTTGCAATGCATGTACAGTTGACCAAACCATCAGGAGAACATTCAGGGTAAAAGCTTGGGGAGGAAGAGTATTTTGGAGGATTATAAGTTCAGATGTCTTCAATTTTTTTTCTTTTTACTGAACTTCTCAAAAATCTTCTGTTAACTTGTCATTTTGTTTTATTTTGTCATTTCAGGAGAGTAGAAACAGCAGTAGATCATCTAGTCCTAGTGTGAGAATGATCACTACCTCAGGACCAACCTCTGAAAAGCCAACACGTAATCCATGGACACCAGATGATGCAGGTAATCCTTAGTTTATTATGTCATTTTTTTGCCTGTAAAAAAAAATCAAAATATTTGTTTGATAATGATATGGGGTGTGTGCTCAGACATAAATAAAAGTAAGGGATGAAGATCATGGTTCTTTTAAGTTCTGCTTAAATCCAATCATTACATTACTGCCTTGTTTTTCAAGTACGCTTTAAGAATACTTCTTTATAGATTGTTAAATTACATAAACTTGTAAGCATTTTGCTTGTAAGAAAGTACTGTAAATTGCAGTGATAGTAATATTTAATGAGGATCTTGTTAGTGTTTTTTGCTATAGTGTGGTTTTGGGGAATTAGGGGCTTAGAAATCTTGGAACATTTTAGTCTTGTTCATTTGTATTTTGAATGCACATTTAAAGATTTCATTGCCCTGACACCTGGAATTAAATGTTACGTAGGTGAGTATCACCTGGAGTAGGTTACCTCTGTTTACCATCTCTGTTGTAATTTTGCTTATGCAGAATGTAGATGTGCACACAAAATTGCTGGTTTTAAATGCACTAATGTGTCTGTAGAAACACTGTAAATACTTCTACTGTAGCATCAATGTTCTTTTGTTATGAAATAGGATTAAGAATTAAGATAATTGAATAGTTCAATTTGATTTTAAAAGCCCTAATGCATTCTGTTATGAAAAGAACCAGTAGTGGACTGCAGGGAAAAAAAATGGATTCCCTCAAATTCCATTTTGGAATATAAATAAAAATTACATTTTTGTTCCCAAAATGTACATGTTGAATCTTAAATTTAGTCTCAAGATGGTGCTTCACAGTGCCTCAAATTCTGTAATTTTTTTCTTGTGATCTTTTCATCTGGATGATCACATTCTTTTCCTGTAACCAGCTACAAAATAGAAACTCATATGACTGACTCTAGCACAAGCATATATATATATATATATATACATGAATACAGATGTATTTTCACGCACTTGCATTTTACCTGCTATAAGGTGATTATGTAAGTTGTAGGGTTTTTTCCCCCATGGAAAATGGGAGTACAACACATTCTGGTGTTTTGCTTCTCTATTTTCTTCTTTCTGTCCTTTGTTGCTTTGCAAGTCATTGAATGCCTTGTCACTCATAACTTCTCCAAGCCCTTGCCCACTGCTGCAGCCCACCCTGGGCCCTCTTGTGCAGCATGGACCACAACTTGCTTTAGGCAGTGAGCACTAACAGGAATTGTTGCCTCATATTAGAAGCAAGCTCTTACCCAGTCAAGAGCTCTTTGGGAACTGAAAGCTGCAAATGGTAAGCCACTGTAACGAAAGTTTGTGCCAAGATTTTGGTCTTAAATGCAGCACAGCACGAGCTAAAGTCAGGTCTGTTTTCTGGCCCACAGAAATTGCTCACCTTATACTCATGTAAATACAGAATGTGCCATATGTCTATTTTTTTCTTGCTAGGTTTATGTAGGCTATGCACAAAGAGTTGTTCAAGTTTCTAAAGAGAGAAAAGATTTTGGTTTTCTGTAAAAGATGTGGCCTTTTTAATTTAATGAAGCAAAGGGATAAAACAAGGATGCAGCCAAATCTGATTAATCAAGGAAAATTTGCAGTTCTGTGATATGGTGCTGAAACACTTAGGAATGTCACCTGAAACATTTACATGTACTGATATACTTTTGAAGCATTGCAATGATTCCCTCATTGTCACAGTGTCTGTATATGGCAATAGTCTAATCTAGGGAAGGACTTCTCATGTTGATTGTATTTAAGATACCATGGTGATTAAGTCTCTGGTTTTAGGGTTGTTTTCTTTTTCTTTTTCCTTTTTGTTTCTACCACCTTCCAGTTTCCTTACAAGCATACACTTAACCACTTTTTCTCCATTCCCACCCTCTTATTTCTGTTTCCTTTTGAAGCTGCTCTTGGAAATAGCATAGTCTTTGAGGGCAACACCTTAGTTTCTCTACCACGACTACTCTGTGGCAGGTGCTTTTGGGGTATGGGTAAGCAGCCCCTTTTTTCTCCCACCTACCCTCCTCCATATAATCCTCTAGTAGCAATTATGCGGCTGTAAAATCAGTAGTTTCTCCATATGTCTTTACTCCTGTGTCTCTTAAAGCTTAACAGTAACCTTGTGATCCCCAGAATGTGGGCTACTGAAAGATAAGAATGCAGAAACATACTAAATCTGGAATGAAAGCTCTAGAGAAATCCAGAATAACTGCAGTGTAAGAAGAGAGCAGCCATGCCCAGGATGCAGACTGGTTATTGGGTTCCTTGCTACCCACAAAGTAACTATACAGAGCAGAGAAGATGCCCTAGAGCATGTTGTGAGGAAGATACTTAGAGACCTCACTGGGAGCAGGTTTCAAAACTGAGCAGGAGGTTGTGCTTATTTTATTTTGGCAGAGCTGATTTGCACAGCTTCTAATTTTAAAGTCATTAGATGCATGGGCTGGCTGGCTGGCTGATCCTTCATAAACAAGAATGAAATGGCAATTTTTTTAATAAACAGAAATTATCACAAATTGTACGGAAACAGTATTTTTAAAATCTGTGTGCTGTTACATGGCTTCTAGAAATGTAGGTTGATAACCATATTTTTTTTATTTTTTTCTTGATGTGATAGACCATACTTTGATGTTCTTAACTATCAGAAAAACAAAATGATTCATCTGCCTTGGGATTGGAACGCTGCTATTTCCATCTGCTTATCCACATTGAGATTGTGTATTGTGAAATTACTTAGACTTCTTGTTTTTTGTCCTGTAAGAAAAGAATTAACTCTTTTTAAATACATTGAAGTTTTCTTGGTATTGTTACAGAGACCAATGGGTCAGATAACTCCATCCCAATGGCATATCTCACATTAGATCATCAGTTACAGGTAATAAACATACAGTTTATTAGATTCTCAAGTTTACATTTCATTCTAACATGTGACTTCGGGGCTGCAAAATATAGTGCCACATATTTACCTGGGTTTATGTTCTGTCTAATTTTTGACCACAGCTAAAAAAATATATTATGTAATCTGAGATTGGTTGACTCAGGTTTGATCAAGCTATTAAAAACAAGCTCTGGAAACATGATCCCTAAAACCAAATGTAAGCCGAGTTTGACTGTCAGACATTATTTACTTGAGTGTTACTGCATCAAATTGTTGTATACACTTTATTTTTTGTGTGTGGAGTTAAACATTGCTTTGATTTTTATGACGAGTGTCAGATTGAAAACTTCAGATTTGAGTAAACTTTGACATCGGTGCAGTAATATTTTCCAGGACATGGTTTAACACTTATTTTTAAAGGCTTACTGGTTTTTAAAAGACTGTTATTAATACACTGCAGAGACATTCTAACACACTATTTACTAAGATATCAGTTCATTAGTCTTTAACATGTCTGATTTATTTTCAGCCTCTAGCACCATGCCCAAACTCCAAAGAATCCATGGCTGTGTTTGAACAGCACTGCAAAATGGCACAAGAATATATGAAAGTTCAGACAGAAATCGCATTGCTGTTGCAGAGGAAGTAAGTGAAATGTGTTTAACCTTTTCTGATCTTCTGTTTCCTATACACAAAGTCTGTGTATAATAATAAATAATGAAAAGTAAATAATAGTCACTGTGACTATTAGTTCTGGCTTTATTGAGTAAAATTTCATATGGCATAATTGTTTTCCAACCTTAAACTCAGAAATAGAGTACAGCTGCTCAGTACAGATGAAATATTTAGAGCAGGTAATTGAAAGTTCTAATCGATATCAATATTCTTCTGGACAAGTCCTACATAAGGTCGTAGCAAATCTCTGTATGTAACAAACTGGTAATGTTTGTTTGTATCATCTCAAATGAAACACCGGAACTGTTAAAGAACCTTGGAATTTAATTTGCTACATTGTCCATTAAAATATTTTCAGTTGTAATTTATAGGTAATTGTTTAATTAACAGATTATAGAATTTTGAGTAATGTGTCAATGTTACTCATTTTGCAGTTAGTTTTAAATGTGTATCTGACTTTTGTCAAGCACTGCATTTACAACAATATAATCAATATTCATCTTGTATTTTTCTGCCGGGGTTTAAGACCTGATACTTAAAAAGCTGTTACATACCTTCTCCTTGTGCACTGGAAATTAACTCTTTCCTCTTGCATTGTTTACACATTTAAGTAAAGCAGCTGCACATATTGTTGTATTAGGTCAAAAATTATTGCTGATTCAGAATTTGACTTCATAACACATTCTGTTGTGTTCTGTTTCCTGATGCTGAGGATCAGTTCAGAGAGGTCATAGTCACACACTCGACCAAATAACCAGCTTGTGACCCACCAGTGTCTGAGCCACTGCAGGCAAGCAGCTGTTAACAGGGAGCTTGCCTTGGTGTTTGTGGATTAGCTAATGAGAAAAATGTGTATGTAAACCTTTTGTACAGTGGAAATAGCATACAGAATGGGGAGAAAATGTTACTGTAAGATTGAACCCTATTCACTTTGGGCTTAGTATTCTGTGAACAATTTGGGTTTTTTCACATGTAACTAGAATTTTTAGATTTGATGAGGAGATAATGATGCTAAAGCTAATATCTTAGTTTTGACTCTATTTATGTTGTCCCCAGTGGTAAATAAATTATTTAAAATTTAATTGTTTCAAAATGGTTAATTCTCTACTTTTAGACTCCTACTGGGTTTTTTTCCCTAGGAAGTTTGTGTTCACATTTCTTCCAAACTGTTTTTTTCTTAGTTAGAATGTAATTGTCTATAGGCATTTAAAACAAAAAAAGATGTGATGGGTGAATTTAATGTTGGTTAAGGTAGTTATTAGTTCTAACTTTTCTTTAACTATAATTAAAAACATATGGCAACAATTAATCAACATGAACTTTCTCCTTTTCTATTTTGTTGCAGAAGTATTGCTGGCAGCTTGCCTTCTTGTCACCTCGTAACAAAATACTAAAACAAACTGCCACATCAGTTTTGCAGAATATTATAGCAGTATTATCAGTATGTTTGGGCTTCTAAAATCTTTGCTAAAAAAACATGTTGAACACTTACAGCATAAATAATATGAAATGCCAGTTACAGAAGTAATTTCCTTGATTCTACTTTTCCACTCCTTTAATAAGCTCAAGTCCAGATAGAAAATAAATTAAAATAATAACTAAAAAGTTAGAAAAAATACTGCATTTTTGTATTTTAAGTTGCCTTTTAGATTTAAAATGTACATATAGATACCTAAAATTGGTTTTGAATATATTTGAGATTTTGTGTGGCTCCTTAGGTATTTTACTGTTACCTTTGAGTATAAACTACATCTGAAAGACATTATCTAAAGGACAGTTTTAGAGGCTGAGGTTCAGTCTCTCAGCTATTTTCAAGTTTAAATGTGGACTTGATTTGGAAGGGATTTTTTCCCCAGACTACATTCAAGAATAACATTCTTTTGTCAACTTCTTTTGCACAAAGTATCACCAGCTGTGAGTTCAGACTGATAATCAAATACTGACTTGAAATATATGAAGTCATCTGCGCACAAATGGAAATAGAATATAAATGGCAATGACTTTTTTTTTTATTTCAGACAAGAACTAATAGCAGAACTGGACCAGGATGAAAAAGACCAGCAAAACACATCACGTCTTGTACAAGAACATAAAAAGCTGTTAGATGAAAACAAAAGTCTCTCAACATACTATCAGCAATGCAAAAAACAATTAGAGGTCATCAGAAATCAGCAACAGAAGCGGCCAGGCACATCATGATTTCCTGGGACCTTTCAAATGAAAAATATGCACAGAAAAGACTGACTTTTTTATTGTTGTTATTATTATCCCTTATTATGACAGCTCATGAGTGTTAGCTTCTTGGTGTGATCTGTACTTGTCTGCTACACTTAACATCATTTAATTTTCTTTTTCCTAGGTGAAATCAAGTTCAACAGGTTAATTGAATAGGGTGAAAAAACATTGACTTGAATTAACCAATAGCCCTCAATTTAAAGCGAGAAGAGTGGCTGTTTGCATGCTCCTAGTGTGAAGGCTAGCCTAACAAGTGTTGAAGAGGCTGCTAAATTGTGAGAACTTATTTTTAGTTTTTGGTGTTACCTCAGTAAGAGAAAAAAAAAAAACTTTCCTGTTTAAGAATGGTTTTGTTCCAGTGTCTCATCTCAAACTATGATTATGATGATTATTTTCATAATAAACTGAAACATGAACCAAGCTGCAGAGGTGATGTTGGCTGACCAGAGTAATTCATGATGCATTAGTGATGCCTTTTACCTGTAGACATAGTGTATTTTTTCCACATGCAAAATGGTAGGCAAACTGATGCCAGCATTCTTGGTTCAGTGCTTGATAGCCCTGCATTTTTGACTAATATATTTCTTGTAATCTTGCATTCATAAAATATTTGAAGTAAAAGGCTGTATTTTGTTTACTTTCTTGGGGTGAATGACATGCAGTTTCACTTAAATACAGGCCAAAAGTTAGGAAGGTGATCATTGGATGGAGTTGGTCCCTTGTATAAAAGAGATACAATCAAAAATATGTAAAAGCGTGTTTTAAATCTTTACAGCTTTTGTCCCTGTAGAATCTTTGAAAGGAAATTCAGAAAGAAAATTAATACAGAACTTGAAATACTTTCTCCCTTTGTTTTTGCTCCCTTATTGATTTTGCTTCAGGAGTTTTTTTTCTTAAAACTTATTTGGTGAAAAGCATTTACCATAAATGTAAATAAGTTTGTTTTAGATAGAGAGAGAAGAGTTTGGGGAGATGACTTTATTTTAAATAGCAAATTATAAAATGGAGTTGAGTATGCAAATAGTGGAAACTATTAAGAAAATGAGGGAAATAGCTTAGATCTCCATCAGGAATCTCAGTTATTCCACTCATTTGAACATTTCTCAAAGGAAGTTCATCACAGAATGCCTTCTGCCTTTTGTGACTGAAGAATTGCATTTCATGAACTTGAGTGGACTATGTAATGCTCAGTGTTGTTATTTACCATTATTACATAGGAGAAAATAATTACTCATTTACATTGCAGATTGATTATTTGGATTATGAATTAATTTTTAACTGGTACAAAAATGAGGCACTTCTATATGCAATGATAAATTACTCCTTACATACATACATAAGTTTTTGATGTTCTCAGTTACAGGCAGGGTTTTAATAACACTTATTTGCAAAAGTAAAATAGAAAATTGAAGTTTAGCTGCTGAGCCCTATAAAAGAAGTAATCTGAAATTTGAAATACGCTTATTTCAAATGAATAGTTACTCATACCCATGAGCAGAACGTGGAAAAACCTTAAGGGGAGAACCTCACACTATTTTCTCTTTCTCTTCCTGCCTACTTGATAAAAACCATTAATACTGTTGTGCTTATCTGTGAACAGCAAAGAGGACGAACAACTTACTGAACATCCTGTCTTGAAAATAAATCTAATGTTGGCAAACCTTTGAGAGTTAGAAACCTTTCCCTCATTTTATTTAAATAAAGGAAGGGTTCTCATTCCCAAAACCTTAACAGATAATTTGATTAGTTAGCTGAAACTGATATTAGGATCAACTTAAGGGCACACATATTTATAGCAAAATGTAATTGGGGGAGAAAATAACTCTAGTATTAGGAATAGCACAAGTTATCCAAAGCATTGCTGTTCACATACATCTGTCTATCTACCAAAATGGAGACACTCAGTGATCAGCAGCTTACTTAACATATGCTGAAGCATTAAGTAGAGCAGCATAAATATTGATTCTCAACTTCAGAGGCATTGATAGTTACATACACAAAATCATTTCCCAGGGCAGTTTTTACATTTTGCTGTGTAGTAAAAGAGATATGCTTAAGGTAAATCAGTGTTGTATGTCAAAAGTCGCTTTATGGCAAGGTTTGAATAATGAAGGTGAATGCAGTGATAAATTAATACATAATACAAAAGTAATTTCTAGCAGTTGCTTATGATTTTTCAGGGTTCACAGTAAAAAGGGTTTCAGATTAAAAAATGAGTGCTACCATGCACTGTTGGCTTCAGTCAACAGTTTAGTTTTATCACTCTTAGTTTTCAAAGGAAATTTGGAGTTTCACTTTCTGCCTTCAAATTGTCCTTTTCTTAATTTTACCAGAAATTTAAAAAACACTTGCCCAGATTTCTCACTGAGGTTTTCCATGTGAAAAAATTTGTTTTTCATAAAAAAAACTCTTATTAGGGTAAAATACAGCAGTTTGGGCTAAGAAGAGTTTAACAGCTTGACTTTCAGTGACCTTTACTGTTTTCATAAAGTTGTTTACAAATGTACTTTTATTTTTCTGTTAAGCTATTTGGACTGTTCAAGAACTTTTTTCATGTTCTGTTCAGTTAAAGCTGTTCCTCTAATAATGGAGATGAAACATCTAGTTTTGGCTGGGCACTGCCTTCTCAGAAAAGGTAACAGGCTCTGCTTTTTGTTACAGTCTGTGTTCTGTAAGATATTGTGTAATTGAAGTATGCTTCTGTATACTATGCAGTTCTTCCAAAAATGCTTTTTTAGGCTTTTTGGTTTGTTATTTTTTCTGATGAGGAGTTAAAGATTGTAATTCAAAACTTGTACATAAAATGGTGAATGATTTCATATGATTCAGGAATGAGCAGTGTGGCTTTCTGTTGCAGGGTTTTACTGCTTTGTCAGGAGTCTAATTAATAAAAGCTGAGAGACTTCCACAAACATGTAGTAATGCCCCACCACTTGCCAGAGCATCCGTGATCTCTCATGGAATCCCACACTGGGCGGAAGATAATCATCATGCAGTTGTTCCCACTGCCAAAAAAAAATTCTTCTGCTATGAGCTTGTCCCTTCCTGTATGCAGAACTAGGGTGTAGGATGAATAGTCTTACTCATAACTGAGTATAAAGATATTTTAAGAATGCCACATCTTCCTTGTGGATGTTCTGCAAAGAGATAAGTGCTTGTCTTCTGTTGTTAAGTTCAGAAAAATTCCATTCCCTGGAACTTGTCTGTTTTGTTCATAATGGATGTTACAGCTTGAGAGGTTCTGTTGCCATACCAGAGACAGAGACAACCCCCAGAAGTGTCTCGTTGCCTGTCAAGAACACAAAATTGCTCTTCAGATCTGTTCTGAAGTGTTCTGAACAACTTGACCCCTTTAAGTGCCCTGCTGTAACTTCCTGGGAAAGTTTGAAATAACAAGGGGTAAGAAAAAAGGTGTGGCACACCCAACCCCTCAAACTACAGCTATCTCTGGTGAGCTGGTTGACGAGGAAGGTAAACTCAAGTAGATGTATATGCAATATAAACACGATGTTATGTACTCATGTGTTCTTACCTACCTGAAAGGAGGGTGCAGCCAGGTGGGGGTTGGCCTCTGCTCACAGGCAACCAGCAACAGAACAGGGAACGCACTCTTAAAATATGCCAGGGGAGATTTAGGTCGCACATCAGGAGGAATATTTTCACGGAAGCGGTGATTAGACATTGGAATGGGCTGCCCGGGGAGGTGGTAGAGTCATTGTCCCTGAGGATGCCTAAAGAAAGACTGAAGGCACTTGGTGCCATGGTCTGGGTGATGTGGTGGTGTTCAGTCAGAGGTTGGACATGATGATCTCAGAAGTCTTTTCCAACCTCATTGATTCTCTGATTCTGTAGAGAGCTGCATATATCAAATCAGAATTGATAGATGTCTCTTTTTTTTTTTTCAAAATCTGAGCTGTCTTTAGTTTTTATTTACTTCAGTAATGTCACTAGATGGGTGATATTCTATGCCTGTGAAGATTACATTCTCTAGAGGCAGATAAATAGAGGTGTGAGAGTGCATCAGTTATTTTCTGTGCCCCTGTAGTAGTTTTCTGCTTCTTTCAAGGACAGTTCACTGAACTTGGAGAGATTTGCTACAAATGTTGTGACTTTGAGCCTACATCTATCTGGTCATGGAGCAGTACTTAATGGAAGAGCAAAATTGAATTTAGACTAAATAGTTTTAATTTTTGTTTATTAATAAAATACTGTCTTAAAATACTTAGAGCACTGCTGATCCTAGGGCTTTAACCTAAACAAGCATTATTGAAGAAAAGATTTTTGTTCGTAGCTGTGTTCTTTAGACTAAGTAGCTAAAAATTCGAGATACTCCAGTGGATACAACAGGCTTGTGTCTGCATAATTCCGCATAGTTTGTCAGTATTCCCCTTCTAACTTGAATAAAGGCAGCGCTCGGGAAGCATTTCTTTTTACAGATGGATGGAGAGGAACATATCATAGAATCACAGAATCATTAAGGTTAGAAAAGACCTGGTGGGCAACAAGCTGTCCGTGAGCCAGCAGTGCCCTTGTGGCCAAGAAGGCACATGGTGTCCTGGGGTGCATTAGAAAAAGCATTGCGGGTTTAGGGAAGTGATTCATTCTCTGTACTCAGTCCTGGTGAGGTGCTGTGTCCAGTTTTGGGCTCGGAGTACAAAAGAGACATGGAGATAGTGGAGCAGGTCCAGTGGAGGGCAATGAATATGATGATGGGACTGGAACATCTCTTTCATGAAGGAAGGCTGAGGTAGCTGAGCCTATTTAGCCTGGAGAAGAGGTGACTGGGAATGGACCTCATCATTGTAGGTCTCTGAAGGAGGGTGACAAGAGGATGGGGACAGGCTCTTTTTGGTGGTCCTAACAGGACAAGAGGCAATGGGTAGAAACTGATGCACAGGAAGTTCCACCTGAACAAGAGGAAGAACTTCTTTATTGTGCAAGTGACTGACCTAGAATGGATTCCCCAGAGATAGTGTGGAGTCTCCTTCACTGGAGATAGTCAAAAATGTTTGAATACAATCATGAGTATCATGGTCTAGGAGACCTTTGGAGGCTGGACCAGGTGACCCACTGTCATCCCTTCCAACTTTATCCATTCTGTGAATCCATTAATCTGTTGTGCAGCCTGGTGGATATGCATTGGTCTTCCCATTGTCTGGTCATGCTTTTCCCTCCCACTGATACTGAACAGGAAAAGCAATGGTGCAACTGCACACAGACTGCTCTCCTGTGGTAATTAGGCAAAGAACCAAGTGGGGACATTCATATAACCTATGGGCTTAGCATGTGATGTGGAACAAAATCTTAGTTTATACCAGAAAATTAAAAGAAAAATCCTATCTGTAGGCAGCTTGAAGATCACACAATCTTTACATTTTCCCTGTTCAGAGGGTAGTGACGCACTGGAGAAGATTGCTCAGAGAAGTTGTGTATGGCCCATTCCTGGCAGTGTTGAAGGCCAGGCTGGATGGAGTCTGAGCAACCTGATCTAGTGAAAGGTGTCCCTGACTCTGGCAAGGGGGTTGCAACTTGATGATCCTTAAAGCCCCTTCCAACCCAAACCATTCTATGATGAGGTGGATATGCAAAGATCTCTGTCTGGGTCTGTTCCTGCTAAGAGTAGCAGTGTGGATGTCACAACTGTGGCTACCTTTGAGTGATGTGCAAAGCCACATGACTGACCTGGTAGCTCCTGCAGTGTGGAAAGAGGGGTGGCCAAAAATGTGCTTAAGAAAAGGAAAACATTTCATGCAGCTTTGCTGCTGTATGTATACAGTAGATGCTTTAGACTACTCAGACTCCTTTCCAAAACCAGGCGAAGTTGCAAAAATTATGCTAAGAGGCAATAAATCATCCTATCATTTGGGCATATCCATCTTTGTGAAGCCACCACTGTGGAAGTAATCCTGTGAGCATTTTTGTTTTCCAAGGCCCCAGGGGAGCCTGCCTATGCCTGTCACTGGAGTTCTCCCTGAACAAATGTCTCCAGAAAGTTAAACCTGGTACATGCGAATCAGATTCTTATTCAAGTTTCTTACATCACCTTCATCATTAGCAAATTCCTGGCACAGTCAGGAATTGTACATGAGGTAGGAGGTGTAGATAATTTAGCTCATCCTCTGAGGGCTCTGGGGCCTGTGGGGCTCCTGGGAACAAGCAGGGAAGTGCTCAGATGGGACCTCAGAAGAAGAGTCAGCACCAGGAGCCCCTTTGGTCAGTGCTGCTGTGCCTTGCGCCAGAGCACAGTGCTGTGGCTAAGCTTACAGGGCTGGTGGTGAGAGCAGGGCTGCTGCTTCTCACCAGCAGCCTTTAGCCAGCCCTCTGGGTGTCCTTGGGTGCTGGCAGACACCAAAGCTGCTATGAAGTGTTTAGGGTGATAGTCATATGCTTATCAAAAGCCCTAGTTCCAAAGAGATGGCTGAGGAGGGGTTTTGTTTATTTGTTTTGGGGTAGAAAGAAAAATTGTGGTGAGGAGCAGTGAGAGCGCTGTATCCCACATCACTGGATCAGGGAAGTATGCCTGTAGCCTCAGCACAAGCCCTTCTCTGAGTGTGCTACCAAAAGAACCATGTGGAGAAGCAAGTGATAAAGACTTTCATGGTTGCTCCCCTGAGTGCTCTGAGTTCTCAGACCTGAAAGGAAGAAGAAGAAAAAGAGGGAAAAGCCTTAACAACACAGCTGGGTAGTTGAATGTTGAATGGATCATTTTGAAAACTCAGACTGAGTTTTCAATCTCAGCTACTTTTAATTACATGGTTTTAGGACTATGCCATCTGCACCTCCTGGATAAGCCTCAGCCTTCACCTGGCCCTCACAGCTGAATTTGCCCCACTGTAAAGCGTAAGTTTTTATCTAAATATTCCTGGAGCAGGACCTCAGGTAAAGAACCAATCTTTTTAACAAAATCCTATTGTGGTAAATCACAAAAGGTGCAAAAGGTGATAAACATTAAGAATCTAGCTTGGGTTTTAATAATCTGAAAACTCAGATTTTGGTGATTTTTTTTTTTCCTTCCCTGGGGCCCAGTCCCAGAGTAAGAAAATATGCAAATATAACCAATTTCACATAGCTTTTCAGTATTCTATCCAGCTCCTACAAGTTTAATCTCTGTCAGTGAGGTTCAGTGAGCGGTCTGGAACACAAGTCCTGTGAGGAGCAGCTGAGGAGCTGTGGGTGCTTAGCTTGGAGAAGAGGAGGCTCATGGGGAATCTTATCACTCTCTACAGTTCCCTGAAAAGGAGGGCATAGCCAGGTGGGGTTCAGCCTCTTCTCCCAAGTAATAAGAGGAAATGCCCTCAAGTTTTGCTAGGGGAGGTTTAGATTGGAAATTTCTTCACTTCAAAGGGTTGTCAGGCTGCCCAGAAAAGTGGCTGGGTCCCCATCTCAGGAGGTATTTAAAAGCTGTGTAGATGTGGCACTTAAGGACATGGTTTAATGTTAGACTTCACAATGCTGGGTTGATAGTTGGTCTTAATCTTTGAGGTCTTTTCCAATTTAAATGATTCTGTGATTCTGTGATTCTATGTACAGAGTTTAGATAGTTGCTAAAGAAAGTAATAGAATGTAATTTTAAAGAAGATTATTCTAGTGAGTTTTAGCCCTTAGTTGATCTGTTTGGGGGCAAGTTTCACAACAAGTGAGTGATTTTCAAAATATCTTTATCAGGGAGAGCACCAGTCTCATGGCAGCTGTTGATGTTGCAAGTTTTTAACCAGCACTGTGCCTTCCCTGGCCTGAACAGTTTCTTCTAGTCTGGACATTGAAATCACTGGGGGAAAGCAGAGCTTTGGGATGATAGAGAGTATGGACAAGTTAGTCCATTTC